ATAAGGCAAGTGGTTGCTGCCAACAGATCATTGACACGAAGAAGGGACAATGTTGGTGCCAAAATCGATCCTTGTGGAACGCCACTTGATGGCAATGTTATCAGACGATACATCGTCCACCACCACGTGGAGTGATTTGCCTGAAAGGAAACTTGATAACAGTCACAGCAACGATTTCCTGCCAAATTCTACATCATCCAGTTCCGATTATATTCAGGTGATAAAACGTGACGCCGAGAAAAAAAAAAGAAGATCCAAATTCTCACCTACTAAAAAAAAATTGTTCTAAAATTGTTCAATTGTTCAATTGTTCATCAGTCATTCGGTTGCCCCCTCACGAGCAACCCACAGAAGTCTTCGAAAGTCTTGTGCGAGCAAGGAATGACGGGGGCCTTACCTTCTAACGTGTGATCCCAAACACTTTCTTGGGCCATCAGAAAAATTTCTGCAGTCGATGGAAATCGAACCCACGACCGGCGAGCGAATACGAATTAGATAGACACCCTGTCCGCACGGCTACCTGGCCTACTAATGACGATTCCAATCTTGAATCCTCCTATCTGAGGATAGTGGGTGTTAATCCATCAGGACCGTTAGCCTTATTCGTTTTGAATGCAAGCAAAAAATCGGTGTGATAGTGCGTTGAAGGAAGACAATTTCGGGCATTCGAATTTCAACGGGTGGAATATCGGGCGACACTTTTCCTTAGGAATCTGAAGTGGAGTTTGCTGCAAACATCTCTCCAAAAATATTTGCTTTCTCCTGCGATGTTGCTGCTAAGATGCCGTCAGATTTGGAGAGTAGTGGAAATGAACTAAACCTTCTTCCTTCCGCATTAGCAAGGGACCAAAACGCACGGGATTCATTGGGACAGTCTATGAGTTTCGATCTCATTTTGGCATTGTATGTTTCGTTTGATGCATCTATTGTTTGGCTGCAGTTATTTCTGGCTTCAACGTATTCTGCTCTAGTCGCGAGGTTAGGGTTTTTGCGCTGCGATGGTATAGGCTGTTTGTTTCAAGTCAACAGCTCTAGAACAATTTTGTTGAACCAGGGTTTCTAAGGTGATGATCTTTTCGAAGAATGAGGTATGCATGTGTCCAGAGTGTTGAAGTTTCTTGAAAAAATCGTTTTTTCATCAATTTCTGAAAAATGCCTGGACCGATAATGATAAAATTCACAATGTCTGTTGAAATCTCAATTAGGTATTTTTGGACCTATTACAGTTGATGAAGTATCACCAGGGGCATGCCCACAGGGTAACAGTTTTTTGCACAAAAGATAGCACCTAGTTGATTTATTTCAAATGTTTATAGTGTTTGATTGAAGCAACCCGAATCAGTTTCATCTTTTTAGGCTTCCGACTTTTTTTCGTACCGGGTTACATATTTCAGAGGAAAAAAAATAAAGACAATATACCCATACATATGTGTGTCCCAGCTAAAACTTGTCGCCCCCCTAATCTCCGATGTCGTTAAAAAAATGAAAATCGCTCGGACAGGTCGATTCCATTTTGGCGAGGGACACATTTTTCTGCAATTATCATATTTCAAAGTTGAAACCTCAAAGCTTAACGGGCATCAACTTTCGATTTTCAAATAGAACACCCTGTATTTCACTGCATTTTCAGATTCTCCCTGAAGAGCTGCTTTCATCAATGTATCACACTTGGTGTCTAGCGGGAATGATTACAGAGATATCGGGTGTTCAAAATCGGGATTTTTCAACTTCAGGATTTTTTTGTGTCGAAACTATTCATTATCGATATTATCGATATTATAATCATAAACATACATATACAACACAGTATTCATATATCCCTATTAATCGAACATTTTCATGTATTTATAAACAAACTATAAAGAGAACTCGAGCGTGGGTGGTTTGATTAAAAACATTCAAACAGATCAATAAGCAGATGGTGTGAATTAAATATACCTTTTTGGGAAACCTTTTATATATTTTATTCAATATTCTGACAATTCAATCTTTATTTATGATTAACAAGTGACTCACTGTCACTATCAGATATACAGTACATTAAAATATTCAAGTTTCTTGAACAGATGGTATTATTCTATTATGTTAGTAGGCCTACCTGGTATTCCTTTGTGGTCTCTCCAACTTGTAGCAGGTCTTTTAGGGCTGCAACCACCGCCCTCCAAGGGGGGGCAAGTGTAGCCGTTTTCTTGACTTCCGTATTGCAACCTCAACTTAGTTCTCATTACATAACATTTTTCGGTCCTTCGAGCCGGATATCTATTCGAAATCTTCGCGATAGGCCGGTCTGAACCGCCGAGTCTTGACTTCCACAAAACAAGGTTCAAGGCCAGCATAACCAAATAATATTTTTTTTTCAACTAGAAGTGAACTAAAAGAATTCCCAATGAAGGTAAAGAATTAAACTTAGACATTTTTGATATCTTATAAATACACTATAACTGTATTTTTCAAACTGATGTACAGGGCGATAATTTACGCCTGGCGTAAACATACCTCACCTCAAAATACATAGTATTTTAGGCAAATTGAGCAGAAGGTGAAACACAAAGTCTCACTAGGGGCCAAACTCCCCTTGAGCTGTCCGAACAGTTGCCACTCGGATTGTTCCATCCGCTACAGGATGTACTTTTACTACTCTTCCTTCCATTTTTTTATCAAACACCAATTCGCTAATTTGTAATGATTTTTCATATTTCAGCCATTTCGTACGTTGTTGAAGAGTATTTAAATACTCATCGTGCCAACGCCTCCAAATATCTTGGTGAAGACGCTGTTATAATTGCCGTCGATTTAGATGGCTCATTTCAAGATTAGTTAAATCGGGTTCAGGTATGGTAGTGAGAGGTTCAAGTGTCAGAAAATGACCAGGTGTCAAAACAGACAAATCTGAGGGATCAGAACTCATAGCACATAGAGGACGAGAGTTGAGAATGGCCTCAATTTGAACGAGAAGGGTATAAAATTCCTCGTAGGTTGAAACTTGACTGCCCACAACTCTATATAGATGAGTTTTTACGGACTTAATGCCCGCTTCACTGAGTCCATTGAAATGTGGGCTAGAGGGAGCATGAAAAGAAAAACTATTTTTCCCCCTCAGAAGCCGTAAGGACCTTTTTCGCTCCGACGAAATTTGTCCCGCAGTCTGAGGTAATACGGTTACATCGCCTCACGACGACTGATGAAACGGCTCAAGGCCGCGAGAATGGCTTCGGTAGAAAGCTCGGAAGCCAATTCCAAATGAATTGCTTTCGTGGCAAAACAAATAAATAGGCAAATATAGGCTTTCTGCGATTTTGTGTCACGACTCTTACTTAGGGTTATATTGAAAGGACCTCCATAATCAACTCCAACGCATTGGAAAGGCTTGATCTGATTGACCCTTAAAGCAGGTAAATTACCCATAAAAGGTTAAAGAGGGACGGGATGAGCCCTAAAACATTTCAAACACTGAGAAAGAACCTGGCATATTGGAGAAAGAATCCAGAAATGCTGAACCTGCAAAAAATGCAAAGTTGCATGCTAAATGTTGAGTTCGTTTCACTAACACTAATGAAGCCGAATGTAGCTCGTCTTGAGAAAAATTCAGTTTGTTACACAAACTGGTACTGGTACTGGTACTGGTGGGGGACGTTTCCACGTCAGCAACTAGTCCCCAATGGGACCTTTTTGCCAACCCCAAGTGTTTTCAATGACTGATGTGGTTCGCTCAAGAGAGCTGGCTAACATCCTTTTCAGGCACCGCCCATCAGCTCTCTTTTCAGAGTTTTTCAGCTGTGTTTTGTAGGCTAGTAATGTACTCACTACCATATGCGCAGTGGCAGGCCTGCTAACTATCATCGTTAACCCCCGATACCGAGGTCTACTTAAGCAGCTGGCCCGCTCTCACGCTCAGCTGGTAGTTTTCCACACCCACCTACATACACGTAGGCTAGTAATGTACTCACTACCATATGCGCAGTGGCAGGCCTGCTAACTATCATCGTTAACCCCCGAGACCGAGGTCTACTTAAGCAGCTGGCCCGCTCTCACGCTCAGCTGGTAGTTTTCCACACCCACCTACATACACCGTCCTACTTCTTCTCTGATGCTCACAACCACATCATCATATCTTTCTGCGTGTTCTGTGTAGGCTTTGTTACTAACTCCATGCGCCACTTTAGGAGCAGCACTGTTAATTGGAACGCAACAGCGAATCGTGCAGGACTATCCCCAGCCGATGCTCCGAAACTTTACAATATTCAATTCGTAAATAAAATATTGAAAAAAGTTCCTTGCCCGTGCTGGAAATCGAACCCACGACCTTGCGGTCGTGAGACGGACGCTCTTCCACTGCGCCAATCCCGGCTTGTAACACAAAACTGTTGGCGTTCTTTCCAAAGCACTCTTCGCAAAAATGTTCTCTCCCAATTTTGACAACAGGAAAGATTCGATCATATCGTGTGATATATCATTGTAATCAGAAAAACAGAAGACTTTTCAAAAATGCGAAAACCCAATATGGCGCCCATGAGAAAAAACAAAGTTGTGTATTGTAACTTTGGCATCAAGAACGTCATGAAAAATACAATGACAGATTCAGATTTCTCGTAAAGAAGTGTCTCTAGAATGTCCCAGTCAAAAACGTCTAGGTCTTTTGGTTTTCGTTTGAAAAAATAAAAACGGAAATTTCTTGCAGATAAATGTTCAGCATCTCTTATAATAACTGAGATCCACATGGTGGAGATCGAAAAACGGACACCCTGTATATGTGTGAAGACCATGATATTTTTTATGTTCCCGAATTATGATTTCTTATCTTAACAGTTCGTTCACAAATTATACATATCAGATGCGGATTCCTTGGAATTACTTTATGATTTCAATTTATAATTCTCCGATCCGGTTCTAAGATGATCGAGGGAGATAAACGCGAGATAAACGCAAACGTGGAACTTGAACGTGTACATACATACTATTTTCATTATTTGCAGGTACCTACCTAGTAAAAATTGACAAAAATGAAGAGAATAATAGTTGACGTAGACGCTGGAACCGATGATTATTTGGCACTATTGCTGTTACTGAAAGCAGACCAGGAGCAACATATCAAAATCGAAGCCATAACTTGTTCAGCTGGCAACACTTCATTAGAAAATGTTATCAACAACGTGGCGCGACTTCTACAGCTTGTAAGAAGGACAGATGTAAGTATAACAAAATCAACTACACGATTCTTGTTACAATACCACTACTAATTTTGGGCGGGTGAAGAATATTTAATCATGTAGGGCATTTCTGGAGTGAATTCTCGAGAATGAAAACGAATTACCACCAATCAGAGCTCGGCATTATTTGTATTTTTGAATACTTTTCAGCATTCAAATACTTTTCGGTATTTGAAGACCGAGTATTTAAATACTTTCTGATTCAGGTAATTATATTTATACTTACAAATATTTGTTGGAATATATTTTTAAGTTGAAATTCGCTAATAGTTTCGCAAAGTATTCAAATATATCTGAAGTATTTGAATACTTTCGGTGTATGATCCTCATACATATTATTTATATAGTTTTAATGAGGTCAGGTATTCAATGAGTTTTGATGTTTGGCAAGAATTGTCAGAGTTTTTTGGATAATTGTGGAATAAAAGTCTTTCAGACCAAATCGAGTTAGATTTTTATTAACAAAAGGACATCGTGATTTGTGACCGCCCGTACACAGAATTCGGACATTCGGTGTATTTAAATACTCAACCAGTATCCAAATATTCCAGGAGTATTTGAATACTCATGAAATATTCAAATACTGTGGAAGTATTCAAATACTTAGGAGTATTCAAATACTCCGAGAATAATGAGATACCTATACAGATTCTGACTTACGGCCATCACGGTTATGATATGATTTGCTCAAATGGAACATCCTGTGGATTTTAGCTTTTCCGAATCTGAGCTGATTTCATAAACCTCCACATCCAACATTCAATATAGTGAATGATGAATTTATTTCACCAATCTGACAATGATAATTCATACATTTTCAAAGACGAGGAGAAAAAATCAAAAGAAATCTAGTAAAAATAAATGATAATTCTGTTAAAAAATATACATAGGTAAGTGAGTAAGTCACCAATCAGACATCATCCTTTTATATTGATGTCGGGTTTTGACAAATTGACGTATTTTCACTGCAGTACAAAAATTTTTTTTATACTGTGTCTATGGGAACTGCCCCAATTACTCAAATCTACATTACAGACGGTGATTAAAAGCGTCGAAAATTCTCAAGTATGATTTCAAATCCTTGAGAATCCTTGAGAATATTTGGATACTTTGGATATATTTAACGTTGGAAGTATTTAAATACTTTGGAAGTAGGTATTTGAATACTTTGGAAATACTCAAATACTTCGGGATTATTCAAATACTTTCAGCGTATTTGAATACTTTGGAAATACTCAAATACTTTGGAAATACTTAAATACTTTGAAAGTATTCAAATACTTACTTTGAACTATTCAAATACATTTGTATTTGTTATTTAATTACTTTTTGGCCTTTGCAAATATTTAATATTCAAATATTTTCAATATCCGAAAGTATTCAATAATTTATATTCAAATACTTTTCTCAGAGTATTTGCCCAGCTCTGCCACCAATAAAAAATTGCAGTTCTCAAGCGACCCCCTGCTTTTGGCTGTTTTTACATCAAACTGCATTTAATTATCATAGAGCTCTTCAAAGATGTAAACACCTCCAGAACTTCACATAGGTATTCAACGACCTGTAACTCAAGAACGATGCATTTCATTGAGATTTTATCAACCGATTCCATATTGAACTCTGATCACTATTTTCTGTCTCAAGCCTACAATGCATGATATTCTTGTTTTTGCTATTAAAATGTTCATATCGACAACCGTCCAGAAAGTACCCACTTTCCGGACAATTTTCCTTCGGGAAAGTAAGTAGAACTTTTCTAGCCTAGTCAGGGAAGTAGGTACGTGCTTCTTGGAAGTCGGAAGCCGGAAAGAACTACATCTTTGTCATTGTATCTATTTATTTCATTATCTCGAAACTTTTCGAAAATAATCAAAAACCATCTTCAGGAGAGAGGCTTCAAGAGGTTTTAGCTCTGTTAGAGACCATTTTAGGATCCATATTCATCCGAGGTAATTTTTATTAAAATTATATTTAACCAACTAGTATATTAATCGCCTTTTAATATACGAGTTGGTTACAAAATTTTTCCGTCGACTGTACGTATTTCTCATTTCTCCTGCAATGAAGACAACTTGGTTTGCGAAGTCATCATTCATCCGGAAACTACTAAGAATCACCCAGTAGCCATGTTACTGACATTAGTGACATATGACATCTGTCGAAATGATCAACATTAGAAATAAATTCCTTGTGTAAGAAAACAGGGATCAAAATCGTTTCGGGAACTTGGAAATGCGAACCCATTAACGGAAAATCTTCGATGAAATCCATGATTTAAATGCAGATTCAGTAAGTTAAAGCATAAACAATGAATGCACGCGGTGAATGTTTGGTTGCCTATAAAACAATCGTGCATTAATAGACAAATTGATCATTAATAGGGGTCATTAATGAACGATTTCATAAACATTAAACTTACTCGTTAATACGAGGTCGACGGAAAAAGCTTTTATTTAACTTGCAATGTATGGATATATGTATGTTAGTTCGGGTGGAATCTTTGAACTTTGAAGTTTGGATGACAATGCACGATGAGTTGTGTGAAGTTATTCTAAATCTAATATGGCAGACCATCCAAGATGGCGGAATAGTTATTTTTAATCTACTTTCACAATATGGGTATCAAATGAAACGGCTCGTTGAGAGTAACTCGGAAAGTAATGTAGCGTTGTTCTAAATCCAATATGGCAGAACTGCAATATGTGCATCAAAGGAAAGGGCTTGCCAAGAATAATTAGAAATAATGTAACATCACTCAAAATTCAATATGGCACACTGAGTCTGTGCAATTTCCTGCAAGATATAATCACGGAACCGCGGAACGAAGAATGCTACCAATTGTATTATATTGGGCTTGTACCGGGTGACACGTTATAAGGTACCACCCCCTATAATTTTATTATTTTTGACAGTAGAAAAATAAGCCTTACAGGGGATTGTTTTCCTCATCGAATCAACTGATATATTTTCAGTATCTCAGAAGATATACAGGGAGCATGAAAAAGTGTAAAAATTTTAAATGGAACGCCCTATATATTTTCGCGCCATTAGATAGGCCTTTACATACATACATTTATCTCCAGTATTTCTAATAATATGGGCAGTCTAACCTAACAAAAAAAGTGTTTACCGATCCTCAAATGATTTTTGAGAGTATGCTGTGACAATGAATCTAGGTAATTAATATATCGTTATTATACAGGCTGATTCACGGTGGATGGCACATTAGACGTTTCTGGTGAACCAGACATCGGATCATTTTGAAAATCCAATGGAGGGCATATTCGGACATTCTCTAGCCAACTAAAATATTTTCGACAATGCGGTGTTGCCGCTTCTATTAGAAAGCAGTAGCAACTTTGATTTTTCAAATGGAACACTCTGTATTTTATTGCATTTTTAGATTCTCCCTGAAGAGCAGATTTCATCAATGTATCACACTTGGGGTCTAGCGGAAATGATTACAGAGATATAGGGTGTGAAAAATCGACATTTTTCAACTTTAGAATTTTTTTGTGTCGAAACTATCCATCATTGCTCAAAACGGCTTACATGTCCCTATCTCAACTTTTGATTAACTATCTACTGATATTTAATTGGGACATATACCGGGTGATCAAGATTTTCAATTCTGCACCACCCTATATTTGTTTGTACTGACAGAAGTAATAATAATAATAATAATTCACGTCGATAATTTTTAGATTCCAGAATAATGTAATATCTTCTCAATATTGATTCGTTATTTCTTCTGTCACAAAAAAAATAGTGTATTATACACGGGAAAAATATTAGATTTTAGCTCACGGTTTTTTGTCTCCCTCCGCTACGCGTCGGAAGACAACACAACCTGGAGCTAAAATCTACTACTTTTTTCCCTAGTATAATAAATAACTATTATTTAAACGCTCTTGAAAGAATAAAATGAAATTTTCCCTTATAATTTTAACTACAGTGTGACCCACTTCTAATGGAACCACCCCTGTATCTTACGTAATCGTTGGTTAGGATCCTGAAATTTGCTGGAGCGAGAGATATACCAAAAATGCACTCTATGACCAAGTGGGGTCATCTTCAGTGATATACACTGCTCGCCAACAGCCATGAAACTACCCCAATTTCCGGAAAATGATATCAGGAGTCAAAATAGGTCGAAAATCACTTCAGATTTGGAATCAGGACGCCCAATTTACTGACTATTCAAATTTTTCCTGGAAAATTTTCAGTTCGGAAAAATGAAATTTTGTCGCATTTTTTATGGAAGCACACCCGTATCTCACGTAATTGACTTTATCTTTGGACTTTCTCTTCCTCCGGCAAATTTCAGAACCCTACCTCAATAATTACGTGAGATACGGGGGTGCTTCCATAAAAAATGCGACAAAATTTCATTTTTCCGAACTGAAAATTTTCCAGGAAAAATTTGAATAGTTAGTAAATTGGGCGTCCTGATTCCAAATCTAAAGTGATTTTCGACCTATTTTGACTCCTAATATCATTTTCCGGAAATTGGGGTAGTTTCATGGCTGTTGGCGAGCAGTGTATATCACTGAAGATGACCCCACTTGGTCATAGTGCATTTTTGGTATATCTCTCGCTCCAGCAAATTTCAGGATCCTTACCCAACGATTAACGTAAGATAACAGGGGTGGTTCCATTAGAAGTGGGTCACACTGTATCAACTTATACTCATTATACACAATTTATGTGATCATTAAAGCTTGTCGCGATGATCAATATTTAAACAAATTGAAATTTGAGAAATTTAATCTCAGTAGATTTTATAAAATTAAATTAGTACTCGTTCATTCACATAAGCGCGACTAGCTTTTGTGATCATATAAATTGTGTACAATGAGGTTATAAGTTGATAGTTAAAATCATAAAGGAACATTTTATTTAATTTTTTTGGAGCGTTTAAATAAGAGCTTTTTATTTAAATTTTGTTTGTACTCTTAATTTATTTTATATTCGATCGTGCATGGAATCCACTGTCAAAGTCTTTTACACTAATTATGGGCACCAATGTATGACAAATCTAACTTACAGGTGGTGTTATATATTTTTTCAAGATCCCCGTGTTCAAAGGAATCAAACACCAGCTGATACTCTTCAACGAAGATATAAAGAAATACCATGGCGAAGATGGTTTTGGGGATATGAACCTGGCCCCTCCAGACACGTCATTTGTGAAAGAACAACCAGCTGCCTTGGCACTCTACGACATGGTGAACAACAATCCTGGTGAACTCACAGTTGTCGTTCTTGGACCTCTGACCAATTTGGCTTTGGCCATCAAATTGTATGATGATATGGCTTCAAAGATAAAAGAAGTTTGGATAATGGGAGGCAATATCACAGGTAACATAACTCTAATAGCAACATTTATTCTCAAGCAATATTCATATATTCATTTGTTTCACTTTATATGTGTAAAAACCCACCATATAAACATTTTACAAATTTCCGATTTCATCTAATGGGACATCAATTTTCAAAATTGATATAATTTACAAGGTTAATCAACCTAACTGATTAAATATGGTTTATAGAGAACCGATAAGTCATAATAATAATGATAATGTGTATTTATTTTGCATTCATGAACATAATGCATAAGAGAGTATTATAAGGAAGAGGCGAAATTCAACCAAGTTGCTCTTCCATACAACCCCCTAAGTATCCAACAAGTTGAAAGGCTATTTTCAATTAATTCAAGAAAAATAAATTACATTCTATTGAAATATTATACTATAGGTACACATAGGGCTCTGGAATTGATATAAATTCAACTTCACATAATAATAATAATAATAATAATAATTGACTATAAAGATGAGAAACCCAAAGTTATCTCCACAACTTTTATAATGATTGGAGATCATCAAAAGTACATGTTTCGAGCTTATATAAGCCTATCATCAGCCGATAATTAGTTCAAAGTTATGGAAGTGAAAAAAGTTGAAATTCAATTAAAGTGGAGCAAACAAAGACAAACAAACAAACAAATGATCCATGATTGAAAATTTAAAATTTGTGTTTTTCATAAAGTATTTTTTTTTTATGAAATTATCATTAGAACGTTCCCTTAAATCACCGAAAAATGGCAAAATTACTCAAATAAATATCAAAATATTGAAAGTATGATGTGGCTTCGGAAATAAGCGGCAAAAGTTGTGGATGACTTCGGGTTTTTCATCTATGAACATGTTAGTTATCATGGACATCTTCCAAAGATTAATAATTCACTGATTAAGAGTTATATATATACAGTATGATGCAAATGTATGGAATAAATTCATTTCAAAACAAGACGACTCCCGAAAAAAATCCAAAAACTAGAGTTCATTACTTTTTTTATTGTGTATTCTCAGTAGCAGACCTCTGCAAGATTCAGTTAACCAAATGATAATCCATTTTAATGTCAATCTTCTCATGCAAAATTCTGACTGTTGGATAGACGATCAGTAGACCTTTCAAACGAGGTGTCACATGACCCCTGTTTGTATTTGAAAAAATCGCCCATTACGTCATTACTCCAACACCAGTGACGTAATATCTCTCAAATGAATGTCATGAGATGAGGCTTCAAAGATTAAAACTCACGTGTTTTTGGAATTCCTTCAAATGTCGCCCATTTCTGAAATAATGAATTTATTCCATACATTTGCATCATACTGTATAGAGGATTTGGCATATATTTTGAATGTATTGAGGGTACGGGCAAATCTAACGTGGGTAGGTAAATAATTGTATGTGTGAGTGGAAATATATATGAAAAACACTTCTGTAATTGGGCGGTGTTGTGCTTTGGAACGGTATAACAGTCACGTGTGAACGTGTCAACTTGTTATGTATATCTGGCTTATTATTGAACAATAAGTGATACCTATCAACCTGAAATTTTTCTTGCAGCTATAGCGCGATGTGATCTATTTTTTATAGCTACACTTCTCCAAGAAATCAACACACCACCAAAAAGTAGCCAAACGTTTAGGAAACATTTTCGTCAAAAGTACTTGTCCGTTTTGGAGGTTTTTTGTTTTGACTGACAGGTTATTTCCTTCTGAAAATTAGTGTGCACACTGTATTAGCATAAAAGTTTATTTCATGAATACCGGGTGTAGCAATTATATAGCGTTTTTTAATGAAATTTGTAATACCGTGTGGAGTGTAACAGTTACGTTATCAAGTTGAAATTGAAAGTACACTTCAGCCTTATCATTTTTCAACATTCCTATTTTGAATTCACTCCAATATCTTTCATATTTCGCCAGAAACACAATTTCACAGCATAACATGATTTTATCGAATTCAATCGGCATTATAAGCACGAAAAAAGAAAAGGCTAAAGTGTACTTTCATTTTCAATTGATAACGTAAATGTTACAACCCACAGAGTGTATTACAAATTTCATGAAAAAACACGCTATATAGTTGCTACACCCGGTATTCATAAAAATGAGATTCTCACGAGAAGGAAATAACCTGTCATTCAAAACAAAAAACGTCGAAACCGGACAAGTAGTGTTAACGAAAATGTTTTCTAAACTTTTGGCTACTCTTTGGTGGTGCGTTAATTTCTTGGAGAAGTGTATATTCAATGATGAAAAAATGTATTTTCAATGGGTTGATTGAATTCTAGAATTATATCCAGACCCATGAATAAATAATACGAACTCAACAATGTAACTGTAAACGTATAGCTTGGGATGGCTTGGGTAATAGTGAATTGTAGAATCGTGAATTGTAGAATCGTGAATTGTAGAATAGGAATTCCTTCACTGGTCAAATTTTAGTGCTCGGTTACCATCGGATCAAATTTTTTCAGCCCATCATTCTCAAAAATAACGTTTTTTTAATCCTCAAGTAACATTTATTCCTAACAAGAACCACTGGTAACTCAACTCTCCATATTTATCTAGAAAATTATCGCTTTTTGGCAAACAGACCTTGTAGAATTTGCCTGTCACCTCATTTTACCAACAAAAAAAAGATAACACCGTTTGAAGATGTCTTCATTTTTTCATTGAGAAGTTTTATCTGACATTTCACTGTTTATGCCCCATGAAGGAAAACGCTTCATACTCCCCTCCTTCTATTGAAATCATAGGTAAATACGCTACTCTGAAGTATGCAAGAAAAATCAATCGATGTCGTCAATAGACCAATACTGATTCATAGTATAATGAAATGGTTTCATTAAGAATACTTAGTATATAAGTAGCCCACTAGGATAGAGCACTTAGTTTTAATCTTCTCCTGAAGATGCTAACATATAGTTAGCAAAACACGCGTCGAGGTTCAAAAAATCGGTTTGGTTAGTGGTGAAACAGTGTATAGTGTAATTTTGTTATTCATTGAAATGAAAAAATGTGGTCAATGGCGTACTCAAATAAGTTATATCAATTTTCATCAAAGAGAATGTGAAAACCTATCTCCTAGTATATTGATTGAATTGATATGACATGCATTACATGCACATTCACGATAGTAAATTGCCCTGGCAATTTTAGAGCAGTACCTTCAAAGGATTTTGAAATAGTCAACAAGATCTGGAAATAGAATTATTCTCCAACGCCCTGCTCTCATTGCTTGATGATGAATTTTCGTATAGGGGAAAGTTGACTTCAATCTGCCTGTTTTGGTTAGGACAGTTAGTTCACCTTGTAGAATTTATGGTACATTATCGTTCTGGGACACCCTGTATGTACATACATACATACATAGTACATTTTTGTAGGAACAGGAAATACGTCTTGCACTGCTGAATTCAACTTTTATCTGGACCCAGAAGCTGCCTATATTGTTCTGGAGTGTTTGAAATGTCCAATTTTCATACTGCCTTGGGAAACATGTTTACGGCAGCCTATACCGTGGGTAAGTTCTTCACATTTTGATTACTAAACAGTTTGTTGAAGTAGTGAATAAATTCGTTGAAATTTCACAACAATACCTCGTGGAAAAACGAGCATACTCGTTAACTCGCCCGTCACTGTCAATCGCGCATTTTCTCGATAGAATTGCGACTATTTCACTCATCTTAAAATGTTCACATAATCTGACCAATCATAAGCCAAAGACAACTTGTGTTATCGAGAGAACACTAGATGCCTTTCAATTCTCATTGGTCTTTCGGCGTTAGTGATCTCGAAGTCAGTCAGTTTTACATAAAATGATTATAGTTGTATATGTCATAAATCGCTTTGGTTTTGCTTGTTCGTTCATAATAAATGCTTCTTATGTTTCGTGAAATAGTCTAACGATATACCACTCTGTTCTTCTCATAATAATTGTGTCTTTCTGTTGCTTGGCAACACAATTTCGTGAAGAACAAAGCGACAGAATCATCTCGAACATTTAGAAAATCATGATGTTAGTACTAATTTCAACAGACACAATACAGGGTAATTCACGGTGGATGGCGTATTAGAGGTATCTGGTGAACGGAATAATAGATCATTCTGAAAATTTTTAAGCATCTATAATCGAGCATTATATCTACCCGTCTAAAATGTTTTCATCAATCCAATGTTAGCGCTTGTGTCAGAAAAAAGTAGGAACTTTCTTATTTCAAATGGAACACCCTTTATTTTGTCGAAGTTTCAGATTCTCCTTGAAGAGTTGATTTCATCAATGCATCACACTTGGGGTGGGGGGGTGTTCAAAATCGAGATTTTTCTACTTTTTTTGTGTCGAAACTATGCATTATCGGTTCAAAACCTTTCTTTATTATCTATTGTAATCTAATTGGAACAGTAACAGGGTGATCAGAATTCTGAATCTTGAACCACCCTGTATTTGTTCCAATTAAATGTCAGTAGATATTAAATCAAAGGATAAGATAGGGACATGCGATATATCGATTTTGAACAGCCCTATATCTCTGTAACTATTCCAGATAGAACTCAAGTGTGATACTTTGATGAAATCAGGAAGCTCTAGAAATGCAATGAAATTCAGAGTGTTCCATTTGAAATTACAAAGTTGCTACTTATTCCTGATATAATCAATAACACTGGATTGATGAAAACATTTTAAATGGATAGATGATATTCGATTATTGATGCTCACCAATTTTCAGAATGATGTGTCTTTCCCTTCTCCAGATAATAATAATAATAATAATAATAATACATTTATTGGACACCAAATATGTTCACATTGGAGAAAGTAAAACTAAATACAATATATATACATATGGTGAACAAAGGGCTTTTGGTTCAGATTGCGATCAAGTCGCATCTGGTGTTCCACCAAAGCCGTAAACTGAAAAATAAAGCTGAATAGGGTGAAAGAGCACGAGAAAGAGAGGAGGAAAAGAGAAAAAAGAGAGATGGAGAGAAAAAGAATTGGAAATAGAGCATGCGAGCGATGAGCTGATAAACAATAATCACGATCTCAATGCGAATGTTTCATAGCGGTCATTCAGGGACATTTTGAGACTGTATTAAATGTTTTTTAAATTTGTATTTGAAATTATCGATCGATAGGTCAAACCAATTAGGATTCCAAATATTAATATAATTTAATGTGTCAGAAATATTATAAGAGAACGAGCGCTTATACACTTCTTTTTTGTGAGTAGGGACACTCAATAGTAATTTCCTTCTCAGATTCAAATTGTGAACGTCCGTTCTATAACTCAAATGTTCATGTAAGTAGGGAGGAGTCTTAAACTTGACTATTTTAAAGAAAGTACAAGCTGTATGGAGACGTCTGCGGTTGATCATATTAAGCCAGTTCAAATCTTTCAGTTTATGTGAAATTCTATTCCTAGTTCTTATACCAAAAATAAGTCTCATACAAGAGTTTTGTAGTTTTTGAATGCGCCTTGTGTCATTGCTATCTAAACATTTATGATATACCACGTCGCAATGATTGAAATGGGACAGAACTAATGAATCGCACAATGTTTTTTTAACTTCCGTATTCAAAAATTTCCTTTGTGGGTATATTAATTTCAGAGATGCGTAAGCTGTTTTGAGTTTATAGGTTACATGTTCTGTGAACTTAAGCTTGGAGTCTATAACAAGCCCTAAGTTTTTAGAGTGAGTCTTGAAATTTATTCTGGAATCTCCGATTTTGAGTTCATAGTTATTGGCCTGCTCACGAACGTTTTCGTTTCCAAATATCATGGCAATTGACTTCTTCGGATTGATTCTCAACATGTGGTCTGTGGATACCTTCAGAATTGCTTCCAAGTCACTATTAATACGATTTACGGCGTCTTCTAGGTTTAGGGGGTCAAAGGAGAAATATATCTGAGAGTCATCTGCGTATAAATGGTAGTTGCAAAATTTCAATCTCTTGGTGAAAGTGGAAGTGTAGATGGTGTAGAACAGAGGGCCTAAAATGCTGCCTTGTGGTACCCCAGAATTTATTTCCTGCCAATTAGAACATGTATCACTTATGACGACCTTTTGTTTTCGATTATGCAAATAAGATGAAATTAACGCACTTGATGCATCGCTGAATCCAAAGTAATGCAACATGGAAAGTAATATTTGGTGATTTATGGTATCGAATGCTTTCGAGTAGTCCAGTAATATTAAAATTGTTACTTTGCTTGCATCAAGAGCTTTAATTATGTCATCCACTATTTTTAATGTTGCTGTTGCACAGCTATAGCCACTTCTGAAGCCTGATTGTTTCACTGGCAGTATGTTATAAGAGTCGACATAAGATCTGATTTGATTTTCCATTACTTTTTCCAGAATCTTTGAAAATGTTGGTAGAATGCTTATTGATCTCAAGTCATTATAACTTTGAGGATTACTATTTTTTGCTATGGGTATTACTCTTGCGTTTTTCCACACACTGGGAAAATAGTTTTGACTTATACATTCATTTATAATATGTGTAGTTATAGACACCAGGAGAGGTCCACAAAGGTTGATGATTGAGATATTTATACTATCATCACCATAGGCTTGCGTTTTTATATTATTGATTAATTTAGATATTTCAGTTTCATTAGACAATGAAAAGGTGAATGATTCATTCAATCCTTCTTTTCGGTTAGAATTATAAAAATTTATTAAATGTTCATTTGGTACATCCTCATTCATGGAAGATCTTAAGAAAAAATTATTCATATCTTCGGCATTTTTCAGTTGTTCTGGTATTTCTTTGTTTCTACCCTTGGTAACACTCAATTTCTTAAGTTCTTTCCATTTACTCTTGATATCTGAGTTGTTCAATTTAAAGTTTAAGTAAGCTTTTTTTTCTACTTTTATGGCTGTGTTGGTCAAGTTCCTCAATTCTTTATAGTATGTCCAATGCTGTGGAAGTTTCGAATTTTTGAATCTAGCTAATGCCCTATTTCTAAATTTTTGCATCAATTTAATGTTGTCGGTAATCCAGGGGGTGTACTTGAGGTTTTTTGGTGAGCATTTTTTTTTCTGGCGCATGTAGATCAAGAATTTGCAATATAAATTCATTTACGAGAGAAACTTTGCTATCAATATCGACAGTGTCATAGATTAAAAACCATGGTAGATTTGCCAAGTCGCTTCGGAATCTATCAATGTCTATGTGTTTGAGATTTCTGTATGTAACCTTGGTATTTTGTGAATTTCTATCCTCACCGATTTGGAATTTTGCCTGTATTAATGCATGGTCAGATAAATCACATTCTGTAATATTTACCTCGGAAATATTTTCACAATTCGTTATAATCAAGTCTAATAATGAAGAACATGTACTGGTTATTCGTGTAGGTTCACTAACAATTTGTCTGAAATTGAAAATTTCCAAAATTGAGGAAAATCTATCTGTATAATTTGAATTGAAATCCAGCATATTTATGTTGAAGTCACCCATTAAAATAATATCATTGTGACTGGAGAAGATATTCGTGAAAACTTCTTCGATTATATCAAAGAATGGTGAAATGTTCGAGTTAGGTGGTCTGTAAACAACGCCTATAACAACGGAACAGTTTTTTTCGATGAAAATGTTCACCCATATACACTCTATATGCTCGTTACATTCGCTGAAAATGATTTCATATTTATAGTTATTTTTCAAATAAAGGCCAACTCCTCCACCTCTGGTAGGCCTGTCCTTGCGCAAAAAAACATACTGATTAAGACTTACATTGTTGCTGTCTATACCTGAATGCATCCATGTTTCTGAAATTCCAATGGCATCATAATCCGCATCGAGAATGTGATCTTGAAAGTCATTGAATTTCGCTGGTAAAGATCTAATATTTATGTGACATACGTTCAGCATACTCTGAAAATATATTGAAAAGATAGTGTAGGGGAAGGGAAATGAAAGAAGCAAAAAGAGAGAGTAAATACTTGTTATATAGAAGATAGAAAATGTAAGGAGAGAACGAAAAAAGAAAAAAAAAAAAAAAACTCAATCGCCCTAAAAAATTGGTCAACAATAGCGTGACACATGTGGCATTCCTGCTCTAACAATACTATTTTGCAACATGTTATATAAATGAAAAAAAAAAAAAAACCTTCCGCATATATTCAATTTGGTTAGAGTGATATTTATGTAAATCAGGAAAAAAAAATCATAATTTTTTCAACAAATCATGCAGTCGTGTAGCATAAACAAAAGCACAAAAAAAATAATGAATGAATAATATGATCATTCACGTATTCCCACCAAAAATTTATAAAAATAGCATTGCATTAATTTCATCAACTTCAACTTGATAAAAATAAATAGAGAAAAGAAATTACAAAAACTAATATCTATTATGAAAAAAAAAAAGAAAAATACCCCATTTTGAACTATATGAAATGCGATGACCGATATGCAAAAAAAATAAACCTTGTTAATTCCCACATAGTTCTTTCAAGTGGCTTTCATCTTTTATACGATGCACTATGTTATCAGTTTTAACAGATATGTTTCCATTGAAGCTCCAAACTTCTTTTCGTGAAAAATTTTCCAGGGCTGTTTTCATCCATAACACCCTCCTTTTAGTCAGATCTTCTTGCACCGAGATGCCGCTTGACTTCAAAAATCTCCGATTCCCCAGGACTTTGTTACGGGCGGCAACATCGCTGAACCTCACAAGAACGCAGGATGGTTTTCCGTTGTTTGTGTCAGTGTTTTTGTTTGGCACACGATGACACTTTTTTATCATCGCCTCGTTAAAGTTTTTTACCTGCATTCTTTCTCCGACAATTCTCGTAATACTTCTAATACGCGCCATCCACCCTGAATCACCTTGTATAATACATAAGGTAATGGGCGAGTGGACTGACAATGAACGATTGGCATTCAATTGCTCCACTGTGTCGTTAGAGACCTATAGTAATGCTTGCAACACTTCTCACACTTTCCTTATATAAATAATGATTGTATGCGTTGTTCGAAATTGTGGAATTTCGGAGCTCATTTCAAACGTACCGTCATGGCCACCATTTGGCGATTCGTCGAATAAATGGTGACGTCAGCTTTTATGCTGTTTCGTTATTGGTCAGATGATCTTCCATTCCCACTCACGAAGCAAGGTTGTCAAGTCACCAATTATAATCGAGTTATCAAAAAGATGTAGAGAGTCCTTTCGTTAAATAAAACATAATAGGACGAACCCATGATATTATAGTTCATTCTTGACGTTCTCGAGCAACCAGCATGTCCAAATATTTATTATACTCAATAACAAAATAACATGTAAATGTTGGAGACTTGGGAACATTGTGCTGAATGCTGAGAAGAGATACCAATCACACCGCTTCAAATGTCCTCTAGTGTGAATTGATATAATTACTATTCACACAAATGTATTATAAGCAATGAGCCACAAATCATAAGGGAACATTTTGAGACAATTGATTTTGTATTGCGAAATAGGAATATTACCAATACATAATCCAGAATGCATGAATATTTGAATAACTAATATTTCTGAAGTTCGCAATCGTATTTCAACACATGGCAACTGTGCTGTGGTCTGCCCCTACTTACGAAATCGTGACGTCAGTTTACACTCGCGGTAAATTTCTATCCGATTGAAAATTACCTTGGCATTTTTGATGATTTTAACACCTAAAAATCGACCGAACAATTCTAAAAAAATTATTAAATTGAAAGGTATTTGAGATGATTCTATTCAAGAAATAAAGGGTTTCCCAATAAGAACGCTCGATCTTTGGCAACAGCGCATTACAAGGTCGAAAGTCACACAGGCGTTATCTTTGGCAGGAATATTCAGTTAGCTTTAACATTCATTATGGAGCGTTACACAATTCAACAACGTGTCGAAATCGTCAAAATTTATTACCAAAACCAATGTTCCGTTCGGCAAACATTCCGCGCACTTCGCGCAATTTATGGTGCTAATGATCGTCCTGCAGAGTCCTCAATTCGCCGTTCAATGAACAAATTTTATGAAACTGGTTCAGTGGCAGATCAAAGAACTCCTGTACGTCAGCGAAGAGTAAGATCTCGGTTGACGCCCTTAAAGTCAACAGTCATTGCAGCGATTGAGCCACATCTGTGCAATCAGGTCATCGAAAATTGGACTCGCAGAATTCGACTCACCAGGCAAAGCCGCGGCGGATATTTAAGTGACATAATTTTCAAAACATAATGTAGTTACATATGCTTCAAAATAAATATTGAATTATGTCAGTTTTATTTATACTTTATTTTTTATTACACTTTAAAGATCGAGCGTTCTTATTGATAAACCCTTTATAAAGAAATTAGTCCACTCGCCTATTATTATGATGAGGTGAAGCAACTGCAAGAAAGAAAAATGGTTATCACTTTGGCAGTGAACTCGTAATGAAATGAAGATATAATCTGTAGCTAAGGCTACTAGCAGGCAGGCAACGGAGCACAATTTTACCGAACGAATTGATCGGTTTACTTGAGGTTCTGATCAGTGGCGGCTCCTCAGAGGAGGCAACGGAGGCTGAGCCTCCTCAGAGATTTTCCTTAAACTAATATTATCTAAACTTTTTCATTGAAAGGACACCAAAATACACGGATTTTGATTTTATTTACTGTTTTTAGGTAAATATTTTCGAATTGGCATCAGTGCTTGCCACGCATCACACGTTGAAGTCTGCGAATCACGCGTAAAATATCCAACTTGGCAACATCTATAGGAGGCTAGACTCCGTCACATCGCGCAACCTACACGCAATGCAAATACCCGAATACGACCGAATAGCACGTGTTTGTCGTGTCGCTTCGCGAATTGCGGACAAACGCGAGTGCATTGTTTATGTTAGGTTAATGGTTAGGGGCTCTATATATATATTTCTTTCTAAAAAATGAGTGTTTCGAACGATTGCGATTAAGTGGAATACTTTTTGGTGAACCCATTCAGTGCTTTGTCTTATGAAGATAAATTGATTGTGAAAAACAAACGTCCGACACCGGAATTAAAAAATCTGATTGTAACAGGTAACAAACAAAATCGTTCGTTCAATTCTGATAATTATAAAAAATATATCTGGTTGAACGGGATCTGAGGTAAGGAATAAGCAATTTTCTTGGTATTGCGTATTATTTTCAACGGATAAGTCATCATGTTGGGGGCGATTAGGATATAATGATTTGAAAAATTTGCCTCGCGGATTGGATAGACACTGCAAATCACAGGAACACATCTCTTCAAGTATTGAGTTCAGGTTAACTGGTAAACAGAATATCATTAAAGCTATTGATTTGGGTGAGTAGAGAGTTGTTTTTCACATTAAATCTCATATCATTCAGCCTCCTCTGTCATGAAAGTCACGAGCCGCCACTGGTTCTGATGAGTATCAGACGTGATGTTTCATCGACTTCTCGGACAGCTACAATAATGAGAAAACATTATCAGGAAGAAACTTACACCAGTATGTTTGCGATGCTGGCTGGCCTCAGATTTTTTTTTCAATGGAAAATCAGTCACCTTACGATATATTGTAACTTCAACTTTGGAGTTTTTGGAATTTCTTGTCAATTCGTAATTGGATATATGTTTGTAATTTTTTGGACAGGGTCTATCACGTAGTTAGAGTTTCTATTTTCTTATTCGAATAGAACACCCTGTATTCCATTACATTCTCGAAAACTTCATTGTTTTGAAAAAAATCGTATACAGTTTGTCCCAGAACAACGTACCATAAATTATACAGGGTGAACTAGAGATCAATATAGGCCGATTGAGATCAACTTACCTCTATACGAAAACGCACCATTGAGCCGTGAGAGGGCGATGAACAATAATTTTATTTTCAGATTTTCTAGAATATCTCAAAATCCTTGAGAGATACTGCTCTGAAAATTATCTGGCATAATCACGTTCTCACCTTGCGACTATAATGCGGTGGTGCGCCATCCTGTTGAACCCACATTTTATTAGTTATTCCTGAACAAACGTCGTCCAAGATATCCGTCGAATCATACTGCAAAACATTCATGCCATATACAAATAGATAAATTCATATAATTAATTATTATTGATAATTAATAATCGGCCTTGCAATGTTAATAACTATCAGACTTTCACATTATCACATCAACAAACTCGAACTCAAAGTACCGCCATATTTTTATTCCACCAGTGTGAAAATGCCTTCAGAGGCAGCGCAATATACTAATAACTTCTTATTTGAAATGTAGCTAGCATACGTCGAACAGTCAAGTGGTTAGTACCGACCTGCTTCTTTTCTTCCTAGTCGTAGCACCCGGTCCTGCGTTGTGCCATGTGACGTTGTGATAGGTTCAATTTTCCACCCACTTCCTGTAGTTTTAGCGGTAATGTTGGAGACCATAACACAAATATACTTACCTCATTTTCACTTAATTTTCAGGAATGGCGAATAAATGTATTAGGTAACTCGACACCCGAGCTGGACTTGTTGACCCGAGCCGAAAAGAAGATATTATCATCAGATAATTGGGGAGCATGGATTTCGTGTGATGCCATCGTGGCATTCTGCTTATTGAATCCCGAAAAAAATATTGTTAAGAAAACGATTCACCATGCCACTGTTGAACTACATGGATGTCTAACTAGAGGACAAGTTGTTTTGGATCATCTCAAGAACAAGAAGCCAAATGTCACGATCATTGAAAGTTTTGATGGCGAGTTATTCCAGGAAGAGCTCTTGAAACTCCGAACAGCTTTATGATGAATAAGAACCTATAGACTAGTATAGAGTATGAATATATAGGGTCCGTCTGTGAATCAGGATATAATTTTAAAGCTTGATATGGTAGTTTCTATTATGTTTAGGTGAACTTCAGTGCTTTGATGGTATCTTGTCAATCATTCAATGCCATTCAGGCTATATTCTGAATTCATCTGTTAGCAGTTTGATTACCAGTATATTTTCAGATATTTTGTTTTGAACTAGTCCTACCACCTATACTACAGGGTATTTGCAGTGAACTTACCCATTTTGAAATTCGGAACAAGACAATCTTATTAAATTTTGTTTGGAATAACAGGACAAAATCTTCTAGAGCGTTCCATAAAAACAGCGAAATTCTCGCACTTTTTTCAGTTTTTTGTCCGTCACTAGGAAACTATACATTATAGGGGAAAGACCACCCTATAAAAAGTTGAAGTAGATAAAATTTTCTATATATAATTGTTCTCACTCATGAACGTTGTGGACCTAACGGGTGAGGAGCTAGAGCAAGTTAAAAATATAGAAAATTTGCGTATTTGCCAAAAAAAACAGTGTTCTTCATCGGTACTCGTAGATAATTCAAAATCTGCGGATTTCTAGAAGATACAAACTACACTGTCTAATGTGGAGAAGTCCTGGCCATGTGAGTTATTGCTTTTGTCAGCGTGTAACTCGATTCTTGAGCTCCCGCCAAACAACGATGTAGCGCCGATTAGATTGTAGATTGTAGGGATTATCCTCAAGGGTCAATAATTATTACCAAAAATTCAAAAAAAAAATCCAATACCTACCTCCTGTCCCTATCCTCCCTAGGAACGCACGATGTTCTTTGAACATTATAGGGATTCCCTTTCGTGCGCTTCAAGCGATGAAGAAAAAAAAAACAAATTCAACATTGGTGAGGTCTAGTAGATATTTGAAGTAAAATGTAAGAATTTTTGAGTTAGTTGATTTCTAATGATTCAAAATGATTGAGTTGTATTCCTTTAAGTTATGGAAACCATCCATCCTTCTCAAAGTGGTCCAAAATGTTTTCCAAAGAAAAAACAGTACAACACAAAGTCGGTCGATCAAAAAAATTATATAAACAAAAGTTTGTGACTAGTTTCGGCTCAACGGCCATCTTCAGACACATCTTCCTGCTCTTACCGACGTTGAATTGCATTATTGATTTGTTCTTTTGGCTATTTAGTCGATTTAATGAACAATATATTTGATAACCTGCCTGATTTTCCGGTTTTCGACTTTTTTCCTCAATAGTTCATTATCTATTTGTAATTTCATAATCTTCACAGTTATTTTATGTGTCTAGAGATGACCGTTATGCCGAAACAAGTCACAAACTTGATTTGTTAATATAATTTCTGTGGTCGACTGACTTTGTGTTGTACTGTTTTTTCTTTTATTTTGTAGAATTTCGAAATTATCATCAAAACTATGGTTTCCTTCTAATATATGGTTGGCACTAAAATGTATAATTTCCGAGTCACGGGAAAAAACTGAAAATGTGCGAAATTTTCGCCGTTTTGGCAAATATTTCGAGAAAATTTTGTTTGCAAACTTCAGATTCAGATTCAGCACCCCTAAAAATATATTAAACCGCAGAGAAACATACTATTTGAATTTATTCCACGTGCAAATACCATTTTATTGGTCCAAAGTTATTTTGGAGTTAGGGCACTTGTCTCAAGCGTCAAATTGATAACGAAGCTTTTAAATTTTTTCCGCCTCACTGACTGATACTGTATATTTCTCTCAAAAATGTCAGTATTTTAAATGAAAAAGATTTATTTTGTAAATGACACCATATATGATTAAAAGATGAAAACAACGAAATTCTTGTGTCACTATACGTGCCAAAATATTACGATCTTGGAGAACTCGCACAAATAACCAACAAAAACATATCTTCTTCTGAAATAAGGCGATATCTACAGATTGTTCATCAAATCGTTATAAATAGGAGTGATGAGAAAGAATAGCATTTGGCAACATGGCCAGTTACGCCGTATAGCGGTTGTTTCACTTTGGTGGCCAGTATTTCCAGGTCTAGTTATTGCGCTAGATCTACCGTCATTATAGCGTGAACTACCGCTCTACCGCAGAGCTTCAATATCTACCGCTAAAATTTTTATTTAATTTAATAATATAATATTCACGGAAATATTACAATAGGGACGTTATTTTATTAACCGGTGGCTCCATCAATCCACCAACTATGTTCATATATTCTTTGTTGGATTCTAGTTTGACGTAACCACGCGTTCATTTATTACTGTTGTGTCAATCAAAATTTCAAACCGTTCCACCGATGCACAGAGATGGTGGACGAATTTTGGTGGCTTTTGAAATGGCAGCGACAGCATAATCCCAAAAAAACTGATAACAAAATATTGGATTTGGAAGCTGTTTGCCATTCGCCTAAGAAAAAATATGGATGAAATAATCGAAATCAGCCTAGAATATGAAAATAAGAGTATATCTGCATTATCGCCACCAACAGAAATTGAAGACATTTCGAGTGGTAGGTTCTTTTCTCTTTCCCATCCTGAATTTCAAGAAATTAGTGCAAACATTCAGGAAACTTGAGTACCAACAGTTTTTTTTTTCATGATGACTCCTTCAATAAAAAAAAAAAACATCTCTATGGTACTAGCCTTGCACACTACGAGTTCCATCGCCGACTGCAGATTACGTATTAGACGTTTCGTATTAGTTTTTAATTTTTGACTTCGACTGGTGAATTCCCTAGGAAATGTCGGAAATCGGTGAATATCCAAAATTCGTGGCTACCACACACTGATTCTTATGAGGCTTCATGATTTCAAGTGAGTTCATACAAGAATGATAATTTTCACTTGTTCACTTCCGTTAATCATCTACCAATTACTTAAATAAAAAAACACTAGTAGTTGGCAAAAACTGCAATTTCTGAACTATATCTACCGTTTCATTTTCGAATCTACCGCTTCCTTATGTCTACCCCTTATCACATTCTCACTGGTGAAGACGTACGATTCCGTCCAAATCAGTCTTTCTAACTATGTTGCCATTCACATGCTCTATATGTAACGATTAGAAAAACGATATTTATATCTCTTCCGCTGTTCGGGAACTATGATAAGCATCGAAGGTGCAGTCAGTCCGTAATACTGGAATTGCAAGCTTAAGCCGCTTCATATCGACCAAGAGCAGTAATCTCTCACGAGCCGGAATATAGAACTACAAGTATTTCTAACAATTCTAACTAGAGAAGGGGCGTTTGATAACAAAACCTCAGAATCAATTACACTGGCTGCGTGTTTGATTTGTATAGTAACTAAAATAAATCTAAAATGTGATGTGCTGACAACTAATTGGCGATGTATGATGTTGCGGACATATTAAGCAATCGCCATTAAGTACTGGTGCACCTTATATACTTAAATCAACAATGCGAAGTCACAATTCCACAATGATAATTCCCTACAACTTCCCTGCTACCAACACCGGTTAACTCAAATCACATCTTTATAATATGAATTATTCAGTTAAATGTTCTCAGTTTGTTGCAAATGAAATAAAATGATCTGAAGGTACAATAAGAAAAGCAAGGAAACAATTTTGGTTAATGTAGTATGTAGGTTACCCGAGCAGGTGGATATTCGCGAAATTTTTTGGGAGCAAGGGATACTATTTTTATTAATTTAGCAAAATATTTCAGAGATTCCCACAAGTAGTGGAGCCAGAAGTTTTCATCTTTTTGCACTCGCGTTCTATATATGCATTCTGCAGGGCGGGTCACGGTCGATGATTCAATATTCCGATCTTTGATCACCCTGTATCTGTTCCAATTAAATATTAGTAGATAGTGAATCAAAAGTAACACTAAAGCCGTTTTGAACGATAATGAATAGTTTCGACACAAATTAATCCTGACGTTGAAATATTTCGATTTTGAACACCCTACCCGCTGGACTCCAAGTGTGATACATTGGTGAAATCAGATCTTCAGAGAGAATCTAAAAATGGAATGAAAACATGGGTGTTTCATTCGAAATATCAATGTTGCCACTACTTTCTGGTACGAGCGGCAACGCTGCATTGCTGAAAATATTTCAGATCGATAGACCTGATACGTTCTGTTCTCCGTAAAAGTATATCTAAGGTTCCATCGACTGCTATACAGGGTATGTCACGAAGAGCTCACACTATCTTTATATCGAGAATAAGTCGAATGAGATCCATGAAAATGTGCATGCTGATATTTCAGAATACGCTCTCTTCATTTGAAATATTTTCGACAATGCAGTGCTACCGCTTCTACTAGAAAGTAGTAGCAACATTGATATTTCAAATGGAACACCCTGTATTTCATCGCATTTTTATATTCTCCCTGGAGAGCTGATTTCATCGATGTATCACATTTAGGGTCTATCGTCAATGATTACAAAGATATTATCAATTTTCAACTTTAGAATTTTTTTGTGTCAAAACTATTCATTATCAGTCAAAACATCCCACATGTCCATATCTCAACTTTTGATTCAATATTTACATACACAGGATGGTTCAAGTCAGAATTCTGATCAGTTGGAATAAGAACATGTGAGCCGTTTTGGCCGATAATGAATAGTTTCGCCACAAACAAATCCTAAAGTTGAAAAATCTAGATTTTGAACACCCTATATCTCTGTTATCATTTCAGATAGTCCCCAAGTGTGAAGTATCGATGAAATCAGTTCGTCAGGGAGAATCTAAAAATGCAATAAAATACAGGGTATTCTATTTGAAATAACAAAGTTTTTGCTACTTTTTGATAGAAGCGGAACACTGCATTGCTGAAAATATTTTAAATGAAGAATGAGCATGAATATTTTCATGGACTTCTTCCGACTGATGAGAGAAAAGTAAGTGTGTAGCCGAACATATGTTCAATCACAATCATTAACACACATATCACTAACCTGAAATTAATAAAACAAGTCAATAATATTGGAGAATTAGGCGCATATGAAAGCTTAGAGATATTTAAGAATAGTAATAGAGTAATGAATAAGGATAATTGACCTATTCCATATAACCCTCTATATAGTCAAGTAATATAAAAATTGAGATTAACATGTGAACTCAACCATGACAAACATTTACTTGACGGATAGTATTTTTCACGGTTGGGTGAACATATACCTAGTATATAAGCAGCACACATCTCCTGAAGATGCTAACATAGTTGGCGAAACACGTGTCGAGGCGGTCAAAAAATCGGTTTGGTTAGTGGTAAAACAGTGTAGTGTAGTATCGTGCCAAAAGTTCCCGATCCATGTTCCCGATATATATAGAAAATAAAGCAATCAGACCTGATCCTGAAAGATTGAGACCATTACTGGAACTTCCTGCTCCTCAAAATCTCAATGATAGAGAGTGAAGTAACTGGATAACACATACATTATCATCACATTCCATAAACTGTATTTTCTATCAAATGTTTTTCTATCAATTGTGTTTCGATAAAATTTCCGCCACCCATTCTCGATATAGAGATAGTGTAAGCTCGTCGTTACATCCCCTATATAGCCGTCAGATTTCTACAGCTTTACTCGTAAATAGCTGCGAACACCTATCTCGAACTCCCCATTGGCACTTCTAGCGGTTTCTTGCATAATTTATATGGCTCTTGTTTTGTCTTTTTTTAATTCAGTCTGAACTGATAATACACCGAAACCATATCGGTAATGGAGTCACTGGATGGTAACTTATACCATCCAGTGACTATAGTGAACGACTGCTTGATCATTGAATTATTATAATTATTATTATTAAATATAAGTCATCGTCGGATGCAGTGCCAGTTCTAGCAAATAAATACCCATTTATTTAAAAAAAACTAATGACATATCACATTTCTAGCCTTTCTACCGGCGAACTCTTTTATTATGCTATCTAAGTCGATGTTTTCAACAATTACATTTTCCATTGACAAAGTATTGCCAAATTTGTCAATCTAGATTGAGATATTGTCCATCGCAGATAGGTTTTTATTAGCTATATGTTAGAAAAAAGATTCCCCACTCTAGCAATAACCGTTTCAGGTATAGTCAATAATATTCGCGGTGCTATCCATACCTTTTGATACAGTTCTTGTAAGTTGCGATCTTCGATAACATTTAAAACATAGCAGGCGCGTATCCATCAGGCTTACGAGTTCATCACACAACGAGTTCATCACACAAGATACAATCATGTATATCTGATTTAGAGTCTACAGTTGATTTCAATAGTTGAAGATCACCACAGAGCTTGACAAGATCGGGTTTTCCCGGAATCTGTTCTATATTGTACAAAAAAGACCAATAAGAGTCACTGACGTTCCATTCTAGTCTTCTCAACATACAATAATGTTTTCCCTAAATTTAGGGAATTTATGAGTAAGTAGGCCTCGCCCAATGAGCAAGGGGATAAATGAAGGCCTTTTTATCCGGCGCCCTACCCTAACGGCGCTACTGATCAGGTATTTCTGAGCTGCAGATATGAAAACAGAAACAATCCTGCCAAGATATTGTCTTTGCCGTCAATGGAGATGTCTCGGGTTTTGGTATTAATTTGCTGGCTACAATGAATTTTGTATTATCCTGTCCCAACAAAATTATCGGGCGTTCCTTTATTTCATCGAATGAGATGCCTCTCAAATATGAGCATATTGTTACCAATCTCTTTTCTTGATAATTTGCATGGGCAATTATTAATGTTCAACTGTTCTGAGAGAAAACTCCTTGGCTCCGTCAAATATTCCTGATACTTACCTATATGTGGTTAAAGTCCATACATGAGGTTTCATGACGTGAATATCATAATATGTCCAGTGAAGGTAGAGAGACTGTGATCTACCTTCTAATTGTTCATTAGACCCATCCGGGGGTCGCACACATGAAACCTAACCTAACCTAGGGTCTGATCAGACGTTACTGATATGAAATTCCATCGTATAGTGAAATAAGTTCGTTCCAGACACCTTCCAATATTCCATGTCCAGTATATAGTCAACTTTCACCATAAGATGAAGACCATTGGTAGCACCATGTTAGAAAGTTCTTATATTTCAATTCTGGAATACGGTTTAATTGTGCAGAGTGCTGAGTTTTGAAAGGCAATTTCAGAATGAATTCAAAATTTAAAAAAAAATTACATTCATACAAACAGGTACACTAGAACACCTGGTATATTCTCTAGAAAAAACAAATCGTAAATATGAACGTGTTTATCAAAAAATTATTTTTATCTTTCAAAGTAATTGGTAAAGAAAAGAAAACAATGAGAAGGTAAGTAGGTATCTTAATAATTATCTGTGGTTTCTTAGTTGACCTAGCATTCATAGGCGCCGAAATCTAGAATCTTAGAGTGGTAAAGATATATATAATAATATAGTGAATACAAATATTGTTTCAATATAAACAGGGTGGCCAACATGAACCTCATTTTGAAATAGACATGGAACGTTTGTAATCTTTTTTCTCAATGGGTTCAGATATACATGCCTATATTAATCGATTTAAATTTTTCATGGGGAGGTGCTCACGCAGGAGTAAACGGTAGGCTATTCTATAGGCAGATTAACGAACCTATAGGATACAAAGTTAAAATGTACTTCACGCAAAATTTTGTGTTTATTGAACGTCAAACTACTTTTGAATTAAGTTTAGTTTTTTCGACTTTTTTTTGTTATTCGGTGTTCACAAAAGTTTGGTAGGTACAGTCGTATTAAAAAAAAGCGTACAAGTATATACTGGAGGGAGAAATTATCGTCATCCTATTTACGTAAAACGGGCTATCAGGAATGAATGTTTACCAAATGTTGACAGCAGAGTAATCATAGGTTATCAAAAACACAAAGCATTGGCTGAGCCAATTTTACACAACGAGAACTAGAATGCCGAAATCTTGTCGCAGAATCGCAAACACTGAGGAGGGGCAAATATTGGTGGATTCGTTCTCTCGAAGGTGTACGGGTTTATATAGTCTTCTAAGAGACAACCGTGAGGAAAATTTCCATAGTATATGGGTCTCAGCATATTTTGAAAGTTTCCATGCATGTGCCGAAAAAACAAAACAATATTTTACATGCTATATTTTCATTTTCTGAATATATTATGAAAACAATGGGATCGTTAACAGTTTCAATGTATTGAAAATCTAAATGAATGAAAAATGGGTGGAAATGAATTAAAATGAATTCATTTTGTCACAAACACAGAACAACAAGATCAACATAAACAATAGGGGTATTCCCGACTACCTGTATGTCTCTTCGTATACTCACGCAATTGAAATTGTATTTATAATATACCTTGTGTTTGTAGTATTATACAGGTGAAACGAAAATACCTCTCTCAGTAAGGACTAAAGAACACAAGTACAATATCAAGAAAAGACATATCGATAAATCGAAGCTAACTGAACATATCCTTACTGAAAATGAACAACATATGGCAGAGTGGAATAATATCAAAATCATATAGAAACGGAAGATAATCAATGAATCCGCTTGCATTATTCTGAAGGGAGACAATAAATAGCATTGCTTCCTGTTCAGTTGATATAGATAGAACATGGTATTCACTACTGAAAACTGAACATGAAAATGGTATATTCAAGATCAGTTAATGAAAACATCCTGTAACTCATTTGTAGACTAAAATCACTCATTCATATGCCAACATCAGTATGACACTGAGAAGTGTCAAACTATAAGCAGAGCACAACTTCCAAAGAAAAATATTTATTTTCATGTTCAGAACGGGAACAGATTCGTTCCCGAAACGTCCAAAGATGAGTAAAAATTCGATATTCTTTCAATAGATCTATATTTCTTTCCTTCAAACATTTTTTCAAACGAAGTGTCACTGACAAGCTGCTGGAGTTTTCTTTTAGGCTCCCTGATAGAAAAATTTGTTAAACGCAGTGATATTTTGAGGCAAATCATCTGATTTGTCCCACTACAAATATATTGAAATAATATGCATATTTTTATTTTATAGAAACGAGGAGAAACGTAATTTTCGTTAATATACGGTGACCCGCAATACCCTCATGAAAAACATTTTGATATAGTCGAGAACAATTCTCAACAGAACGGATTATTAAATATTTCCTGAAAATTCAATATTTGAACTTTCACACTATGACGATCTTGAAAGCTCTGCCCCCATGTCTCCCATGTAACCAGCGCCTATGCTAGCATTACTATTTGTTTATTCCACCTTGTTTAAAATCTTCTCGATAACAAAGCCATATATATCTTTTATTTAAACATTGAATCGAAATTCACATATGCTGTACAGAAGGAGTACCTTTATCAACAGTGGGAAACAAGCACAGTATTTTTTCAAGGAGCAAAAATGAGGAAAATAATAATAGACGCAGATGGAGGTACTGACGATTTTCTCGCATTATTGTGGCTTTTAAAAGCTGAAGAATGGGGCGAAGTTAAGATAGAAGGGATCATATGTACGATGGGAAACACTACACTACAACATGTTGAGAGAAATACTGTGAGGTTATTGGAAACAGCTAAAAGAACAGATGTGAGTATACATCCTAAATAAGCATTCACAATCATTCTCCTTCAACTTGCGAATCAATATTGGTGGTGATGGTGGTTCGATTATATCATCAAGAATGTCAGGTAGTACAAAAATCAATATTTTCATTCAAGATACCCATCTACAGAGGAACCAAATACCAACTGATTCTCCCTAACGGTAGTCCAAGAAGAAGTCATGGTTCTGATGGATTCGGAGATTTAGAATGGGACAAAGAACCAGATACATCTATAATTTCTGATGTACCGGCTAGTGTGGCCATTCGTAATATAGTCGATAAACATCCCAATGAAATTTCGATAATTTGTGTTGGACCACTAACAAATTTGGCACTGGCTATCAAATTGTACGATGATATTATACCGAAAATAAAAGATGTCTGGATTATGGGTGGGAACTATACAGGTAGGTACGTTTTACCAAAAAAAAAAATATATTTAATCAGAAATAATTATCCCAAAAACAAAACTCAATGACGTGATTTTACTAAAAAAAATAGGTCGAGGAAACGTAACGCAGTCAGCAGAGCACAACTTTTATGTTGATCCAGAAGCAGCCTCAATAGTACTCGAATGTATTGAATCTCCGATTTATATACTTCCTTGGGAAACATGTCTAGAATCACGAATATCAACAGTGAGTATAAACATCTTTCAATAACATTGACAATAACAATAATTTCCGAATGAATTTTATTAATTGTCATCGTTGCATGCATTCTCTGGATCTAGAACGCTAGTTTCCTCCGCATTTCCAGTTATCATTCATCAGGCTATCGCGCAAAAAAAATTGAATAAAATAAATGAAATAGTATCAGGAGGTTACTATTGGAGGTGGAAAATAGTTATTTACACTACAAGGGAGGCAAGTGATACTTACCAGTCGAGGACATTGTTTGCGCCCGAGCGATAGCGAGGGCTTGCAAAATAGTCCGAGACTGGTCAAGAACACTGCCTCCCGAGTTTTGTATTATATTTTTTCTACTCCAGTTCCCTTAGATTAAAAAAAATGTTTTTCAATTACTTATATAATTTGACTAATCTAACTGAAAAACCCTGTATGTATGACAAGTTTCCTAGTGTTACACGTTGATCGCTATGGAATTCATATTGTTTATAATCAAACAAATGTTCTGTCAGTGTCATTTTATTAAAAAAATCGAAATAATGGATATCGATGCAGTTGCGAATGCAGCTTGTGCTGCTCTATTACCTCAGAAATCGAAGGAACGGTACAATCGGTGTTACAAGGACTTCAAGGCTTGGTGCAGTAATATTGCAAGTGGTGAAAGCATTACCGAGAACTCTTTGCTGGCGTACTTTGTAGAGAAGTCACAGACCCTAAAGTCCCCTGCAAGTTTATGGAGTGAGTATTCGATGCTAAAATCGACGTTATCCATTCAAGACAATGTAGACATTTCCAAATTCCTTAAACTAAAGGCGTTTTTGAAGAGAAAAAATGATGGCTATAAGCCAAAAAAGTCTCAATTTTTCACGCGAGAAGAAATAGAAAAATTTTTGACAGAAGCCGACGATAGAAGTTTTTTATTAATGAAGGTAGTGATGGTCGTCGGGATTGCTGGAGCATGCCGCTCACAAGAATTATGCGATCTGAGTGTAGAGAATGTCCAGGAAATGGAAAATTTAATTATAATCAATATACCTGATTCAAAAAATGGTACATCTAGAAGATTCACCATCACTGCAGACAAAGACAGTAAAATCTGCCATTTAAACATTTTTAAAAGATATCTCAAAATAAGATCGTTGGTTGAAAGACCCCAACAACGCTTTTTTTTGAGATACCAAGAAGGCAAATGCTTGAATCAGCCTGTGGGAAAGAACACTTTTTCAGCTATTCCCACAAAAATAGCAAAATTTCTCAGACTGCCTAACGCTGAAGCTTATACCGGCCATTCGTTTAGAAGAACGTCTGCCACATTATTAGCTAACACTGGTTCAAGTGTTTTAGCTCTTAAAAGACATGGGGGCTGGAAGTCGGAGACGGTTGCTGAAGGTTATGTTGCTGATAGTCTTTGCAATAAGAACGAGGTGGCAAACAAAATTCTTTATAACAAGAATAACAGCGATTCAAATTCATCTGCTATTCATCTGCCTACCACATTGACCAGCGCTGTAACAAGAATTTCTGATAACATAAGCACAACAGTAGAAGTGTCCAAACAGCTGCAAGAGGTTTCCCCACATTTTTCAAACTGTAATTTTTCAAATTGTACTATAAATGTTAATTTAAAATAAAGAGTTCAATTTTTAGGTTAAATTATGAAGTTTATTTAACTTGCTTCCCTAGGGAGGTAAATATTTACTTACCTCCCTAGGGAGGTAGAACGTGTTTTCCTCCCTCAAATCAGTATCAAAATGAAGTACTTACCGAGTAAGGAGTAGAAAAAATCATATTGGTGGCTTTTAAATTATTATTGAAACGACTGTGAAGTCATAGGCATCAATGTCATATGTTTTCCATGTTATTTGATCAAGAGTGAAGCGATTTACAAGATCCATTCTGGATTGAAAAATAAAAATTTTAGTAAAAATGACTTCATTAGTCAAATATTGACAAGTGCGGTATTCTTCGATTTAGAATGTAATTCTCGATCGAAATAAGTGGAAATATACAGGGTGTCCCATTAAAAATTAAAAGTTGGTCTCATTTCCGGTCAAACTGGAAGTGAGGCAAGGCAAATAAATATGTCAAAAAATGTAAATTGATCCAAAATACACAGCCTCCAAATTTAGATTTTTCATCTTCAATAATAAAAAAGTTATAGGGGTGGAAAAAAGTTGATATGCAACAAAACTACGCAACGGATTATTGTAAACCGCAAATCATCTTATGAAAAATATATGATTCTAGGAATGGAGACATCAACAATTGGGGGACTCGACTCCAGAGCTCGAAATGGTATCTAAAGCTGAAAAGGCTCTACCTAGGTTTAAAAATCCTATGTGGGTGTCTTGTGATACCTTTCTGATATACTGTTTCCTGAACCCAGAAAAACATATCACGAAAAAAACGCCACATCATGCAAGAGTCGAGCTGCATGGTAACTTCACAAGAGGCCAGGTGGTATTGGATCATTTAAGGAAAAATGATCATAATGTTGAAATAATCGAAGAGTTCGATACAGAGCTGTTCAAAAAATCGCTACTAAAACTAAAATAGGTGTTTGTGTCATTAGATCAAGAAGGAAATAAAGCAAAATGAAAGAGATGTATTTGTATCAAGCACATCTAACTGTAGATACTACAATTGAGCATATTTTTGTGTTAACTGAGTTTGGAAATACCTCTATTATTTTTGGCTGTGTTTACATACCACCATCATCTCCTCCAGATATCTATATTAGTCACTGTGAAACTGTGGAAGAAATTCATAATACATATCCAAACAGCTTACTTATCCTTGCTGGGGACTACAATATCCCTGATGCCAGCTGGTATAATGACGACTTGGGATTAAATGTCAAGTGTCATCAAAATTCACCTGCTATGATATTACTGAATTGTTTTAGTTACTTAAATCTTTATCAACTAAATAGTATTCCAAATAGTAGAAATACCTTCTTAGATCTAATATTCTCAAACAGACATGATATTACAGTTCAGTTTGCTACTGACCCGGTTCTTCAGGCTAGTATACATCATTCCCCACTTTCATTTGATATAACTCACATCACTACCAAAACAATTGAATATAATGAATATTATTATGATTTCAAAAATGCCAATTATGATAGTATCAATGAATATTTCTCTAGTGTGGACTGGTATAGACTCTGTTCCTTCAAAAATATCGATCAAGCAGTTTGTTTTTTCTATGAAGTCTTGTATAATGCTCTCAACCTTTATGTACCCTTGAAAAAATACAAACCATCAAATTTTCCCCCGTGGTTCACACCTCAATTACGCAACTTGATCAAAGAAAAAAATAAGTATCACAGAATTTTCAAACAATTTGGTATTGATGAGGATTATACTAGATTTTCAAACTTGAGAGCTCAGTGTAAGCTACTTAGTCAGAAATGTTACAAAACTCATATTGAACATATTGAGGATAATATATCTAACAATCCCAAGTATTTCTGGTCACATGTTAATAAAATCAAAGGCTCTTACCAAATACCTGAAAAAATGCACTATAAAGATATGGTTGGTTGTAATGGCAGTGATATCTCAAACCTCTTTGCAAACTTTTTTTCAACAGTCTATTCAACAGATAATCTTGATGATTCTCAAGTCATACCTGAATTTAGGTATGATCGAACTATTGACATGGCAGAATGCACAATCAGCGTAACAGATGTGTTTGATAGGATAGCAAGTTTGCCATCTAAACTAGCTTTTGGTCCAGACGGCATACCTCTATACTTTATAAAAAATTGTATTTTCTCCATTACTAACCCTATTCATATCATTTTTAATATGTCACTGAGATTAGGTGTTTTTCCTGATTTCTGGAAACATAGTTTTTTGACACCAATTTTCAAATCCGGCAAAAAAGATAATGTTGAAAATTACAGAGCTATCTGCATGCAATCTGAAATTCCCAAGATGTTGGACTATTTTATAACTAAACACGTATCTTGGATTTGTAAGAATATAATTAGCGATCAACAACATGGCTTCATGCAGGGCAGGTCAACTAACACCAACTTAGTTTTGTATCAAAATTATATTCTTTCAAAATTTGAGGATAAATCTCAGGTTGACTCTATCTACACAGACTTCTCGAAGGCCTTTGATAGAGTCAACCATGATATCCTAGCATCTAAGTTAAAGGCGCTTGGTTTTAGTGAACTGATGCTAAAATGGTTCAACAGCTTCTTGGGAGGAAGAACACAATGTGTTAAAGTGGCCGGATGTATTTCACAAGTAATAAAGGTATCCTCCGGAGTACCACAAGGGTCACATTCTGGACCATTGCTTTTTAATTTGTTCATCAATGACATATCTCTTTCAATATGTAATTCTCAATTTTTGTTATTTGCTGATGACCTAAAATTATTCCGCTCTATAGACTCTCTGACCGATGCTAATCTTTTGCAAGAGGACGTAGATAATTTAGAACATTGGTGTCGACTCAATAAGATGAATCTTAATGTAAAAAAGTGTTTTGCGATTTCTTTTTTGAGAGTTAAAACTCCTATCAACTTTCCATATGAAATCCACGGTAACCAACTATCACGTGTCAATGAAATCAGGGACTTGGGAATAAAAATTGACACCAAACTCACTTTTGATCAACATATTAATGAAATTACAACCAAAGCTTACAAAATATTGGGTTTCACTTTTAGGGTATGCAAAGACTTCAGTTATAACACTCTGAAAATACTTTATTGCTCTCATGTTAGATCTATTCTAGAATATGGCTCAATAGTATGGTCCCCACACTATGAGTGTTATGTTCGGCAAATTGAAAAAGTTCAAGAAAAATTCTTGAGATGTTGTGCTTATAAATTGGGACTAGTTAGAGAAGATTATGTATATGCCGGGGTAGAAAAAATGATAAATATCCAATCACTTTCTCACAGAAGATGCGTCACTGATATAGTATTCCTACAGAAAATAATCTCAGGCAACATCAACTGCCCCAAACTACTTGAGAGTATTGCACTGAAAATCCCAGTGTATAACACTCGCACTCCTGAAATATTTAATGTTTCATTCCATACAACCAACTATGCCTATCACTCCCCTCTTAATAGAATTAAAATATCTTTCAACAGAGCCTTGATTTGTTTTGTATGAATGCTCATAATATTAGGAAGGTCTTAAAAGATGTTAGTGTTTAATGCCTTCAGTAATCTATTTTGGTATTCTGTTATTTCCAAAATCAATCCTTGTATTTAAATGTTGTTAAAAGTTGTTATTCAAATTTAAAGTGTATGTAGTACTAGTTGTAGATTAGGCAAATCTTTATTTTGTCTTATTTATGTTTGTTATTCATTGTAAATTGGGTTATCCCGTGAAATAAATAAATAAATAAATATATAAAAAATAGCTTTTTTAATTCGATATATTCTTTCCAATTATACAGAGTGAGTCATAAACTATTGGGACATAGGCTAAGGGCGGATTATTGGACCAAAATATGGTGTTAGGATCAAATATATTAATAAAATAGCACTGTGGGAAAAGATTCAGTGAGTTTCAATCGAAAATGTTTCGACTATAAACTCGCACCAAAATTTATTCACTGACAAGAAATATCATTCACCAGCAACCATCATCAGTCAGAAAGTCCAAAGCACACTTCATAAATGGAATAATATTTGATAGTCCCTTCCGAGACTTTGGACTGTTCATGCATGTCGATGTAGGTATAGGTACACTCGTCTTCAGCGAACATGTCGCGGTTGGACGATATGAGCGCTATTATTGCAGTGGTGATAATAAGGAACACCGTCCATGTGCGACATAATCTCTGAAGACGAGTGTACCAGCCTACACCATAGTTTTACTAATAACAATCCTAAAAGTTACTTCCACATATTCACGAAATAAGGAAATATACCAAGGAAATTTCTGTTTATTCACTGGAAATGAGATGAAATGGAGTAAAACCAGGTACGTTATCGCTGACCGCGCTAACGTCAATTCCTGTTTTTGAAGTAATTGAACTTCAATGAAAAAATAGCAAGGAATAAGGCAATAATTGGTCAGATCACAGGTCAGGTTTTATTCAGTTTTTTAGATAAAATAAACAACTGGCAAATCGACCATTCAAGTTCACAAATTGCGATGCAAGATATTCGTATTGGCACCGTATAGAAGTAAATATTGGTTATGGATCTCACAGCGGAAACAGGAATTTGTGTATAACATATAAGACATTTTATTGAAGCAGAATAATATCTATTTTTTGTCATCAAATGAGCTAATTTTCTGTTCTTCGGTCTGATTCTCAGTGTGATAAGAGCTGTTTTCGTATCTTGCTAGAATATTTTCCAATTGTGAACACCTACTCGATTCCATATCATAAGGAATAATCCATTTCAACTGAGTATCACCTAGTAAAACTTGGACCTGCATCTCATTCAATACTACAACTTGAGAGATTATTTTCAATACATATAAAAATTGTGATTGAGGCTGCAGGATGAAACATGGCTAACAAAAAGCGAAACAAACTACTTCGAAATAGAGGGTTGCTCAGCGGTACACTGATGTAGAACAACAAGAGGTGGACGTTTATTGTCGATCTACATTCAACAAGACATAAAGTATGGAGAGACAGACATTATAGAAGACAATGAACCATTTAACTTGTTAATATACATCTCTCCTTCTCTCAGTATAATAGGTATCCACAGACCGCCATCTTGGGAGGTGAATGAATAATTTCTAGAAAGATTATAAGAACTATTATTATCCAATGAAAAGCACACTATAGTAATCGATGACTTAAATATCAACATGCTGGATAATGGAATGGCAATTTCTAATTATATAAACTGTGTGTAACTATTATGGTAACAAAATACTGGAAGTGACTGACGAATGTGCAACCAGAATCACACCCTATTCACGCCCTATAATTGATCATGTAATATCAAGTATAGACATGGAAAAAAGTGAAGTATCAGTGAATCCCTGCAGTTTATCTGATCATCATATATATTAGAAATCAAAACACACGTAGAATTCAAGTACAAAAAAATAATTGATAAAGCTTACACATTAAATTTGATACACTAAAATGTACCAGATTATTAAATAATAGTCATATGGAACAGAAGGCTTTGCGGTATTCCGTTCAAGACATGAAAAAAAATAGAGATACTATTGTGAAAATAACACCCTGTCTCCAGAAGGAATTGATAGATGATGCTGTCAGAGTATTCATGTCAGTTCACTCTGAATTTTGTAACACTGTTCAATTTGTTATATTGGATTATAATTATACGCAATATATCCTATATTCTCATTATTCGACGACTCAGTCACAACAAGTTGGCGACGAGGATATAAGATTCCGATAATATCAGCCGCATTCAGTGAATTCAACAGCCGCTCTGTACCCAGCTTCCAGTAAGTTTTACGTTCACTAAACCTGCTCTTTGTGAAGATATATCAAGTGAATTCTGAACATATATCTGAAATCATGGATTCGGATCAATTCCAAAAGTTCATGTCTGTACTCTCAGCCGCTCTGGGGAGGAATCAACAAACCTCACCTTCTCAAATATCCTCTTTTGAAAATTATGATTCAAAGAATGAGAGATTTGC